AACTCCCTTTGAACAGGAAGAAACCTCCAGCAGAACCAGGCTCAGTGTGTGTTGCGGCGAACGCCCCCTTTTGTTTACATCAGCTGTTTAAACGTGAGCGCGCAGCTGGTTCCACAGGAGAGGAGCCTGATAACTAAAAGATCTGCCTCCCATTCTACTTTTAGAAATTCTAGGAACCACTAGTAAACCTGCAGATTGAGAGCGAAGTGCTCTGTTAGGAACATAAGGAACAATCAGATCTCTGATATCAGATGGAGCTTGGCCATTTAAGGCTTTATATGTGAGAAGGAGGATTTTAAATTCTATTCTTGATTTAACAGGAAGCCAATGAAGAGAAGCCAGTATAGGAGAGATATGATCTCTCTTTTTCATTTTCATCAGAACTCTGGCTGCAGCATTTTGGATCAGCTGAAGGCTTTTAATTACAGTTTGTGGACTTCCTGATAGTAAAGAATTACAATAGTCCAGCCTTGAAGTAACAAATGCATGGACTAGTTTCTCAGCATCACCCCTGGACAGGAGATTGCTCATTTTTGCAATATTCCTCAGATGAAAGAAGGAAATTATAGAAACCTCTTTGATCTGGGATTTAAATGACAGGTTCTGATCAAAAACAACACCAAGATTTTTTACGTTATTATCTGAAATCAGTTTAATCCCATCCAAATGAAGTGACTGACTAATCAGCTTCTTTTTCAAAGACTCTGGTCCAAAGACTATAACTTCTGTTTTGTTTGCATTCAGAAGGAGAAAGTTCAGACATGCCTAAAATTGTCACGGTCTTGGTTTTGATATGTTTTCTTTTGAGTATTTAGTTTTACTTTGCTCCATGTTTTCTAGTTTTATTGGTTTATTTCCTATTTTGTTGTGTTTTCTGGATATATTTGAGTTCTTATGTTTTTATTTGTTGCCCTCTTCTGGTGGTCTTTTTTCCCCTAGCTCCTTTCTATACTCCTCTCTTCACACCTGCTCACAATCAGCTCCTTAGTCCTCTCTTTGTTCAGTCAGCCATAAATACTCTCCTTATACAGTTCCTCAGTGCTGGTTCCTCGTCTCTTCTCGCCTTTCCCTGACTCCACATGCTCTTTTCCCTCGATGTCTCCATGGTTCTGGTTAAGTTTTACATTTTAAGTAGGATTTCCGATTCCTGCCTCTGTTACCTGTCTTGATTAATTAAAGACTGCAAGAACTCACCTCTGCCTCTAAGCCTCTGCATTTTGGTCTTCAGACCTCAACCAAACCATGGCTGTGGTACTCCACAGGTAACCTTTGAGCATGAAGCAGATCTGTCATTAACATGAACAAACTGAAATCGATCAGATAGATCAGATTTAAACCAGTCTAGTGCTGTTCCTTTAATTCCAACAAAATATTCAAGTCTTTCTAAAAGAATATTATGATCAACTGGATCAAATGCAGCACTGAGATCCAACAGGACGAGCATAGATACAAGTCCATTATCTGAGGCCATGAGAATATCATTAGTGACTTTCACCAGAGCTGTTTCAGTGCTATGATGAGCTCTAAAGCCAGACTGAAACTCTTCTAAAAGTTCATCATGGTGGAAGTGATCGCACACTTGTTTGGCAACTACTTTCTCAAGGATTTTAGATCAGAAAGGAAGATTGGATATAGGTCTATAATTGACCAAGTCATCTGGGTCAAGAGACACAGAGAGCAGCAGAGAGGAGAGTAAGGTTTAGAAAGCCGTCGGACTGAAGAGATAATCAGGTTCCTTCACCGAGGTAAGTGGGATCAAACCAAAACTGATCATACATAGTTTATTAAATCTACGATTTACCTGAAGTTAAAAAAGTAAAGTGTGTAAACTGACTGTAAATTTAAGGGACTGCAGGGAAATGAGTTTGATCTGTTTGCTTCATTATTCAGGCACTTGTGTTTCCATTTTTCTTTCTTTTTGTCTAAATCATTAAAAAAAACTAAAGCCAGTCTCAGCTGATATTAATCCCATCAGGTTAAATCAACACATCAACTTTAACACTCAGACCCTGAGGTAGTTTGACCTCTATTGGTTCAATTTAGCTTCTCTGTCAGTTTTTGGCCCTAATGTGCTTCCATACCCTCAGCGTGTTTCTGAGTCGTGTCACATTATCAGCTGTGTATATTTCCGAAGCATTCCTGCTCTGAACTAAATCAAACCGGCCCAGAGGAACAGATAGTGGGAGGAGTTGGTCAAAGGTCCAGCCGGGGGAGGAGGGGCTTTTTCCTGGAGAGCTCAGCCAATCAGATAACAATCTACCAAGGAGGCGACGGAGAGCAGGAAATGGGAGGAAGACTAACTTCTTTCTTTTACAGTTCACTTGTTTTTCTCTGTGGTTTATCAGGCTCTGAGGACAGATATTTTTAGGTGCATTCTGGAAAATGCAGGAATCCCTAGAAGGTTGATTGAATGTGTTTTAAAGAGGGATTATTCCTGATTAAAATCAGCACTAAGCTCATCTAAACTTTCATTAATATTACACAGATGAACTGAAGCAAA